TATACTTAACAGTCAAATAGAACTCTACTGGCAGAAAAGGTTGCATTCCATAGTCTCAAATCATTTTCAAGAACTGTTAAAATGAAGAGTTTATATTTATTTAAAGTTTGTGTTTAAGTGCTAAACGAATTCTTCGATATCTTTACTAGATATCAAATTGTTAGCACATGATAACATTAGCAGTGATCTGACCAAAACTGCACAACTGTAGTTTGGGCTAAACAACCATTATCAATTTCGGAAGAGTTTTGCTTTTGTGTTTGCAACATGTCTTGAAGTAGTATTTTTTTACACGCCGGTAGGTCATCTGCCACTCTCTTATTTAATCCCCTGAGCAATATGGTATCATTTGCTATCAACCCAATTATTATGCTGCATATTTATATTTTGTCTACATGAACCTGATTGCAAACTGCCTTGGCTTTGTTCTAATGACTTTGTCCTGAATGTACAGTAAAGCTGCAATGTTAGCTGTAACACTTTGCTTTAGTGACTGACAGTCTATTCAATTCTATTCGTTATTGTATGAAAGGCCACAGGCCCATATACAACTCTCTTTTTTTATGAAATACAAAGACAAGGTAACCATTCATTTCGTAACGGCAACGCACAATGTATGTACTTAGCTTGTTAATGTTGTATAAAGGGACAATCCTGTAGCATTACAATGAGATAAAAGCCACTGCGTTGTGTACTTGTTTCTTCGATTTTTATATACAGGGCAAACAAGCAATAAATCGAAACAATTTTACAAAATGGGCAAGACCTTAGGGATTTCTCAGTTGATGAGATTGTTCCTATATTAATTGTTAGATCATTCAGTCCAAGGCTAAAATAAATAATGATGTTATGAAAATCCATGCAGCGTCCAGAACCTTTTACAAGCGAGGATATTAACCTTTTCAATTGTATTAACCCCATATCTTAGATCCATATAGTAAAATAGGGTGTATTTGAGAAATAACTCTAAGCTTAGGAATAAAAGAGTGGATTAGTAACAGGTCATTCTGTGCTCTGGTAGTAAGATTAATTACAGATACAGACTTATTCAGAATCCGTGTGTGGGTCAACTATGTGCCAAGGTATTGGTTTTCGCTTGCGGCCACAGGACCACCACCGAGTAGAGCAAAACTGTTTCGTTTATCAAGATTCACAATAAGTTTCCATTCATCTGAGTATTCAGGAAGTATATCCAGCTGCTTCCTTAGACCCATTATAGACATCGAAATCACATCATCTGCAAAACGTAGCGTGAACAGTTCTATTATATCAGGGAAGAGTTGGATGGTTTGTCTACCAGACGGTATGATGTCAACATAAGACTCATTTATGAAAAATTAGAAAAGGACACGTTAGCTAAATCAGACAATCACAAAATACACTTCTAGTATCACCGCAGCCAACACTTGATTTTCCATTGCATACATTCATTTAACATAGGAAACATTTTGCCTCTGCTGTAACAAACCTTTATTTTTCAAACAACTCCACAATTTAGCTCTGTTTACAATATCAAATACCTATAAAGTCGACAAAGTCCACATGCAATATGCGTTTCCGGTAGGATAAGTATCTTACAATGGCTGCATACCAGGTGAATATGTGGTGAAAATCGAGTAGCCCTTTCTAAAGTTCTGTGTTTAAGGAACCAAATCACTCATTTTTGACAACTGTGTTAATGTAATATTGATGCTAGAAGAAACCATTTTACTGCTTTACGAACACCACTTTATCAAGGTTGTTCAGTGATAAAGAATGTGTTGCAGAATTGGCGGCTCATAGTGCAAATCCCACTACGTGTGGCTGCAAAGACTCGCTGTACTGCTATGAACCTGAAAGGCATGTAATCACGGGTGACACCTCAATTGTTGACAATAACAACCTTTGCTAGTTATTCAAATATGGACGAAAATATTGTGAGCAGCCTTCTACCAAAAAGGAAGAGGAACCTGTTGAATGTCTTTCAGAATGGGTTAAGACAGTGTGTGGTGTTGTCATTGGTAGAATACACAAACTGAAAAAGAGGAAATAGAATTGGAATGAACCGGTTCTTCCCGTCAGCTGTCATCCAAATTACGGGGCAGCCCTACATGAAAGGTGTATAGTTGTTCCCACTAACAAGACTATATATAATAACATACTAGTAATCATTGTATGTAAGATTGAACTACATCAATTGTTTGATCAAAGAACTTGGTATAAGTGATATCACAAACAACGCCACATATGAGGCCAGTATGTTAACTGATGAAGAAATCTACCAAGACCATGCATCAGTACTATCAACGAAAACTTTACACTTGATTCCAAATCTTCATTAAAAAAAACTACAAAGAGAGAGATATTGTTGGGTCCAGCACCACCAAATCCCTGGTTCAATGATGAAAATAATCCTTAAACATTCAAAGAAGGACTTTCTATATATTCACAGAAAGTATTTCAGACATTACCATGTGGACTTTATCAAACTCAAAGGATTTGCTTGACTTTTAACAGTCTCAGAAAAGATCCAAGTTAAAGTATTTCAAAACATTTGAATTTTCAACTTTGTACACCTCTATCCAACATTACAAACATTAAGGGGGTCCTTGATCCATGGGGAATTAGTTGGACAACCTGTCGACCGTAGATACAGTTACAAATCTATCCTCCGAGATTCAGGACAATTTGTCAGATATGAGAACAAATGTCATCTGTTAACTGTTTACTGAGAAAACAATGTGTGAAATGCTGTTCTTCCTGATTGATTACATCTATGTATAATTTCGTGGAAAGACATTTAGATAAGAAGTAGGCATCCCCAAGGGCACAAATTGTGCTCCCTTTCTTGCTTGTTCCGGTATGCAACAGTCGGAATTTCTGCTCGGAATGGCAAAGTCAAAACAAAGGTAATTTTAACCAAGAATTTAAAGATTAGCTAAATGTATATCGATGATCTTATATCGTTCATTAACTATCAAGTTCCCTTCCACTGATATGCCCACCTGAGCTAGAAATAGAGGAGACCAGTGTCACCGCCTCATCTGTTTCATATTCAGATCTCTGCATTAAGATTCAGAGTGACAAAACACTCTCCACAAGACTGTATGTCAAGAGAGATGACTTCCACTTTCCAATAGTTAACTTTCCCTTTATGTCGAGCAATACTTCAGCGGCTCAAGCCTTTGGTGTTTACATTTCACAGTTTTTGAGGGACAATCGATCATACTCTTTCTACCACGATTTCAAAGATCGTCATAAGACAATTGCTGAGAGGTTGTTTGATCAAGGTTACACCATACAAGGCTTCAGTAAAGTTTTCAAAACGGTGTTATGGTAAACACGTAGATGAGATGTTTCAGGTGAACGATTGACTTGCTTTTGCATGTGTTTGTGACGGATGCCACCGGTAGTGAACACCTGATATCACCACTATTTGATAGTGATTCATACATGTAAGCTCATGCTCATGATAAGAGTCTAGATTAGTTCAATCAATTTTTCTTATGATTTGGTTTTGGTTGGTTTGTTGTTTTACGCCGCACTCAGCAATATTCCAGCTATATGACGGCGGTCTGTAAACAATCGAGTCTGGACCAGACAATCCAGTGATTAGTATCATGAGCATCGATACACGCAATTGGGATCGATGACATGCATCAACCAAGTCAGCGAGCCTGACCACCCGATCCCGTTAGTCGCCTTTTACGACAAGCATAGTCGCCTTTTACGGCAAGCATGGGTTGCTGAAGACCTATTCTACCCCGGATCTTCACGGGTCGATTTTTCTTATGAACATGGAAAGGGTTTTGTCACTTCTATTTACAGTTACTACATTATATTTGTATAACCATTATGTGTGCCATAGCTATGTGTATTGGTATAAAAATCCACGAATCAGTACACACAGCATTAGAGCACAGAACTAGGGCAATGCAACAGACATGACAAAATAATACTAATTGAACAATAAATATGCCTCATGTATATTGAATATTATACGGAATCAGATGTTTCTTATTAATATGGTAAGGGTTTTGTAGCTTTATTTACAACAAATACTTGTCTGGATTGTTTACGTTTACATTCTTAAATATTGGAATAATAATTTCGACAAAACAGAGGTAAAACACCGTTGACGAAAACAAGATTGAAACTTTAAAGCAGGAAATGCATAATATAAGGAAATGAGTATTTACGTATTTTGACACAACCAACCCAAGCAGATTTACCTGTTTCTAGGCGAGAGATAGGAACAAGTTTTTTTTCCATTTCCGGGGTAGTTGATTCCAACAGAAACATGTTAACATCCGCCAAAAATTCACTGACGCCATCAAAGAACTCATTGTCTACCCATAATATAGAAGCATTCTTTCAGAATGGCGTAATCACTAGCTCGTGATCCGTATTTTCCTACAAAAGCTGAAGACGTAATTATCACTGTTTCGAATCATGGATAAAAAATGAAAAGGATTTCTAATGAAATACCAGAGCCTTGGTGCTTCTAGTGCATTGTTCAGTGTTTGGAATAATACAGTCTAACTATAAATCATAGCAGCGATTTGTGTGTTTTCTGAAAGGTTCGCTATTTAAAATTTAATGAGACCAAGAGAGTATTTCAGCTTGAAAATCCCTGATCTTTTCTGCTGTGGCATCAAAACTATGCTCAAATCGTGTAGTAATTTGCACTGAGTGTGTTATGTCGGCTCTTGATGCCACGTGTTCTGGCATGAAGACCCGCAGACATTAAATTAAACCGGCTCGGCATTAGAGCCATGCATTCTGTGGAAAGCAATTATGTGGAGCTATTCGGACTATGTCAAGAGATCCCAAAGTCTAATCCTTGAATCAAGTAGGTACAAATCCACCAAGACGAAAACAAAGTTGTTTGCTTAAGAACTAATTTAGAGGAATAATCTTTTTCTTTTTGATCGATTTGCCATCATTGCAGACTTGCAATCGATAGAATCGAAATGAGCCTGAATGACGATAGGTACTCAATCACATTTATAGCATACTAGTTGAAGCGAAAGTGTTTTTATTCACAGAAGACAAATGTGCATTACAAACGTTGTGAAAGCATCCCCTGCCATAGCTTAAGCGCAAACATGAATATAGACGGCAGACTGCGTTCTTTTTTATTAATGATTTTCATGTCTTGCGACTTTCTCCTCATACATTCTTAAGATCCAGGTCACATGCTTAAGCTCGAGGTCAGATATCTCCAAGTATGTTTATTCTGATCCATATGAATCCAAATAGAACAAAAAAATATATTGTATCTTCTGAATAAAATGGTTCAACGTAAATGGATAAAAATAAATATGGTTGATAAAATTTGTACATGTACAATTACAGTGAATTTAAGGGAGTGTGGGCTCTTAGTGAGGACCTTATACACCATAAAGAGTATTTGTTTGACAGCGTCATACATGTGCCGGCGCTTGTGCCGGTCAATGACTGGCGTCACTTTGGCCATTCTTTCGTCATTAACTGTTCAATTCGGCGTCTATCCCAACTCGCTCGCATACAGTATTAAGTTCAAATTGTTTAAATGCTGTTTCTTTTCAAATACATTACCATTTCGCTGCCATATATCAACTGTTATACTGTTATAATTCATCTACTCTTCATATCTGTTAAATATGCCAATTTTTATGTTTCATATATTTCTGTCTGAACTGATGAGCAAGGCCATGTTTTTGCTTCAACATAATGTCAATAACCGATTAAGTGTATTTCGAAATTAACTCTATTTCTTTTTTCAGTTCTCCTTGAATAATATTGTTCTCATTTCATGCGTAAATAGAAAACCAACGTCATGTACAAATCAATACTCTTGTCACGCTGAATGATGGTCGTTTAGTGACATGTTGTTGATGGCTTTAACGCCATCTTCACTCGAATACATCAGGTTGAATTCCTTTGAGTTAAAAACGAAATTTTCCAAAATCGATTCTGTCCTTACAATTCTTATAGTCACAAGAAGTATTCTTTGTGCAAGATATTCGACTGCTGTATGGCTTTCACCATATATTAAGAATCATGTTATCTTCACTGGACGCTTCATATCGTGTAGTTGCTTGAACCAGAGATATTTCCATAAAAAAAGGTCCAGAAAAAACACACTATTATTTTCACTTCTTCACTTGGAGCGGTTGTGGGGCATCGAGTTCACAATCTGTATGCGTGGTTGAACAGGCAAGACTTCCATAATAGGCCTTAAAGTGACGGCGAAACTGTCGACTTGTGGCACAGTAGATGAATACGTTACACGCATGATGGGATAGAGCAATCTCTTCCACGATCTTCCTACTAGCAAAGTAGGAGAAATAGCTCTGCCAAGTACAGTCATTGCCCATATCATCAAGCGGCATGGATTTGCCAAGTTTGACACTGGTTTGGAGAGCGTACACAATGGTGACTGGGAGTTTGGTGAAGATGAGATAGAAGGAAATCCAGAGAAGTGTGACTGTGGTTGCAGTACATCGAACGTTAGCCGTTCGGTAGTCGGACTCACTAATGTAGAGTTTCCCCACACTCTTAATCTGTCTCAATACACAGATATTGAGAATGAGGACAATTATCGGTACCAAAGCGAACATTACCATCTCCGTTGTCCAGTTCCATACTATGTAGAACTTACTACTGTGCTGATAGTCGTCATTTTCCCGGACTTGACATTCCTCTGTGTTCTGTCCGATGTGCCAGAAGTATCCCTGTGGCAGCGATATCGCAAATGATGAGGCCAAAACCAAAACAATAACCTTTGGCGATCGCGATGATCGAGAAAATCTTTCACACTCAAATGGATGGCATACCGAGAGAAACCTTTCAACTGTGAAAGCTAACACAAGAAGCATACATATGTATTGTGTTGCTATGTACATAACGTTCCAAACTTGGCACCATCCTTGTAAATCTAGAGCGCCACGTTGCCATGGATATTGAAGTTCGTAAAATATGTGTAAAATAAGAAATGTTATGTCTGCAATGGCCAGGGCTGTCAGGTATGATGCTGAGGTGTTGCATTTACGCATTCGACGGAGAAGCCACACCTTAGCTGAAACAATGTTTCCAATTATTCCTATGGCACACCACACAGGGGTAACATATTTGTCAATATCAAGGGCAAATGGAACGTAAGCACGCAGTACTGAGGAGAGATCATCCCATCGGTTGATTTCCACTGCTGTAGGTGACGACTCGGTGCTGTGGTTTGATATGTTGTACACAATAGTGGCCATTATCTGAAAGAATACAACTCATTGTTAGTAACGAAGTGATTGTCAATTCATTCACTTTGTGTATTGTATGCAATTAGAAACAACTTATTATTTATACACTTACTAAAATTGATAAACAGCCTCTTTATCACTAATAATTTCAATGTTAATTCAACCTGTATCTATCTAACACTTATGTATCCTAATATAATCATGTACATTAATCAAAAGTCGAGAAATTGCGTCTGTTAAACTAACGTCGTCCGCTCTGAAAGTGTATCGTTTTGAACATGTTCATGTACCTTTGTGTATGATTCCGTTCTGTGCCAAGTTTCAATGACATAAGACTAGTGCAACCATAACAAATAATGCATCACGTTTCACTTTCACTCAACTGTGTGTATATGTTGTATCACAAGATTGACCAACATGTTTCATTAAGTATAATATAATGCATTTGAATTGCGATAAATCAATCCATATTTGTAATGGTCATCATACAGAAATCACTCGAATTGCCGGAGATCGACCTCCTTCGCAACGATAATATACATATATTTGGTATAACGATTTGGTGTATATATACACCAAATATATACACACACACACACAAGTATAAACACAAACACGCCATCTCCATGTGCTCCAATTGCCATTAAGATTCCACTAGAAGGGCAGTTACAGTCAAGACCATGACCACTTTCATATTGACCGATAACCCTGGCAACCGAATCCATAACTCCATTAAACATATGACAGTGAGATTTAACATAGAAGAGTTAATATTTTCATTTCCAGTCATAAGAAGGATCAGATGGTGGTCAATGGAGGGAGTATAGAACAGTGTGGTTATATTTTTATCACACTCCTTTTAGGAAATCTGTTTCAGAATTGATCCAATATATCTTATGCTTGCCAACAAATGACGATCAGTTGGTGATCACGATCAGGCTCAGTGATTGTACAGATTGGGTATAAATGCAATTGAGTCTTCTTTTTGCTTTCAGTCAGTGATTTCCCTAGCCAAGAGTTGATTATTTACAACCCGCCGTAATGAAGTCGGAATACTCACTCAATCACGCACACATTTACTCACATGACACAAGTACTGGTATGTACTAGAATATGACAGAAAATGAAATAAATAAATCGCTGCCCGAATGCTTAATAACTGAGCAAAGAATTAGCTAGTTGGGAGAAAAACCAACAGTGAAACATAAGGTTGTCTAACTGTACATAATTAGACACCTCTTATTTCTAATTTGGAACCGAGCAACCACGACGACAAAAAGGCTTTGAAAATGTCTTTCTTGGAACGCCAGCTATCTTAGAACGTGTCGAAAAGGGGTCACAGTGACAAACGTATATTCATGACTTGTTCAAAATAAATGTTACAAAATACACAGTGTTTCAAAATAAAACCCTTTCCATATTCAAAAGAAAGCTTTGCCAAAAGCAGAGTCGATTGAACGATTCCGACTTCATATATATCGTGAGCATGTGTTTATGAATCATCATAAAAAAATGTTCGTTTGTTGTTTAACGCCACACTCAGCAATATTCCAGCTTTATGAACGCGGTCTGTAAATAAGCGAGTCTGCACCAGACAATCCAGTGATTGATATCATGAGCCTCGATCCACGCAATTGGGATACGATGAAATGCATCAACCAAGTCAGGGAGCCTGACCACCCGATCCCGTTAGTCGCCTCCTACCATGAAAAAGTGATTATACAAGGTTGGAACTTACGATACAAGTCAAAATAGGGAATTGCATATTTGGAAATGTCCTCCACATGTCTACCATAAACATTGTGAAATAATAAAAGTAAACTGTTTGGTCCAGACTCGATTATTTACAGACCACCGTCATATAGCTGGGATATTGCCGAGTGCGGCGTTAAAAACAAACAAACAAAACACAATCTTTACAACAAACTTGATCTTAACAAAAGCTACGGACGTCTATCGACATTAAAATCCGTAAACAAATGTTCGACAAAATTAGCCTGGTCGTGTACACTAAAGCATATACCTACCTAATATTGAAAGTTTTTTGGAATAAAGAGTATATGATAATTTCAGAATATCGACAAACGAAATGAGTTTCATATTTTTTTTGTTCTTTAGGTATTTATCATGAAAATAATCCTACGCAATTGACTTAACGTATTTTGGCAGGTGAACTGTTTTAAAACGAGATATTGAACTGGTAAAAGACGTGTGAATTTGCTCCACGATCAAGGTAAAGGTGATAACAACACCGCCTCGACAGTTTTCACAAGCATCTCTAAATATTTATCTAGTGGTGTTCTGAACTACAATTTCACCGGCTCTGGTGTTGATTTGCATGAAAAATAATACCTTATAATCAAACACACAACGATAAGATATCTTTCTGCTGCTAAAAAATAAATATTATCTCTCCAGGTGGTTCGTTAAAGCGTTTATCATAGACTCTGTGCCCGGATTATCAAACGATTATTGGCTCAAAATCGAAATACAGCATTGCAATGTATTTCAAATTGGTAATTATCAATCTCTGGAGCAAGTTCATTGTGCAAACATTTGTTTTCTTCTTCACTCATATGTTTCTATAGAGTTATTGTACAGCAATATGAAATATGGAACACATATTCAAGACACAGGTCCACCGCTGGGGCAGGATAAGCTTACATTTTCGCGAGCACCTCGAATCATCACTATTTATTAGTGTTTTAAGCAGAGATTTCTTGTGGCTATGGTACGGTCAGTGTTTAACATATTCACGACACCATACTTGAAATGACACAAGAAACAAAATAAATAGAATAGGTTTAATCACAGACGAAAGTTACTAGTTGTTCTTCTTTAAAATTGAATTTATATATTATACACCGTTCTTCAGCGTGACCCCCATGAAGATCTTCAGCAACTCAAGTTGCCGTTTGAGGCGACTAACTGGATCGGGATGTCAGGCTAGCGGACATGGTTGATACATGTCATCGTATCCCAGTTCCGTAGATCGATGTTTATGATCTCTATGGCCGAATTGCCTGGTCCAGATATCATTTACAAATTACCGGCATATAGCTAACGCACGGTGTCACACAACAAACTTGAGTGCAGGGGCAATTATGCCATAAGCCGCTAGCATGAGTTGAATTCCTCAGGTGTGTCTCTGAAACCCCGGTTATTTTTCAAGATATGTCAACACCATACCCGTTTCGGTTTAGGCTTTCCTTTCACACATAGCTGACCCGACGTGATACAACTGACATACTCTTCAAAGCGATGTTAAACCCAACTCACCCAGTGTGCAATCAAACTCTTTTAGGCCAAAATCACTCGATCATTTGGTTGCCGGAACGCTTCATGTATAGCGATATTTTGCTACTTAAATGTCCACCTCATCTGATTCTTTCGAAGAATTTGTCGATTCAATAAACAGTCTGTGCAAAGGTTATAAAAACATAAACATCTTAACTCAATAATGTGATAAAGAGTGATATCCAAAGTGCTGTTGTTTTAACGTTTGGCAGGAAACCATTGCATTATCTCGCTATACTTGAAAACAATTAATGTGACTTCACTTTTGATGAACACACGTTAATTAGTCACGTGGGAGTGGCCTGAATACTCCAATGACTTTGAGTGAGTTGGGGTTAACACCGTTTGTAACAGTAGTTCAGTTATATGAGGCCTGTGAACGGTATGCGGAAGGAAAGCCGGAAGACGATTACAATTTTCGATAAACCTGTGTGGTATGGTGTTTCACGTCACAGCGCATTGATCATATTCGGGGCGAATCTGTTTTTTGAATCCGTGATCATCCTGGCATTGCGTCTCTGACGCTAAGGAAACCAGCGATCTATTAAGAAACTTGAAAATGGTGCTGTCTGTCCGGGATAAATAGTTATATGTATTGAATATCCGCATTCCAGGATGCCTAGGCTTATATATTTAATGTTCACTGAAAATGACAACGATCGTAGACATTGGAGTGAGTGAGTGAGTATGGTTTTACGCCGTTTTAGCAATATACCCATGTGGACATTTGACGACCAGGTGCATGGGTTATGCAGTTTACACATCTTAGAATAATTCAAATGTATATTGAATTTGAACATGTGAATAGCTTTTGGCAATTACGTGACAGAACTTAGTGAAATGGGGTTTAACGTCGCGTTCAAGATTGTTGCACTTATATAGCGATGGGCATGCGCGCGTGTGTAGTAGTCCGGACTAATGCCGATTTAATTGTGCTAGCTCACTGAGATACCATGCCGCAGTTTAACACCAATACCCAATCTTTTAACGTATTTTGCGTTGTATAGCGTCTTTTGGTATGACGCGGGCGGGGGTCGAACCCACGACCTTCCGCTCTCCGGGCAGACGCTCTACCAGTAGACCACGGAGGCGGTCTGCACATTGTGTTGCAAAGCAATACACAAAAGGGACATCTGTGTCTGCTTTTGGAAAAAGATTGAACATATCACTTGCATTTGTAAGAAAAAGAACGCCCACAGTTATATATATAATTGATTTGGTTAATCCAGTTGACGCTGTTGGCAATGTTCTCCTCGTATCTTCGAACACGATCGACCTAAATTTACATGAACATGTATGCTGAGCATACTGCCGTAAGCTGCCTCAAACAGTAAAAAGATGAACGTGGTTCTCAAAGAAATGAGACACCCTTAACCACGCAGATTGACATCAAGAGGTTATGCATTAGCAACGCCAGTCGAGACTAATTCAGCTTGCACAACCCTGACAGGTTCTTGATCCACCAGGAATTCTCGTTTTCGGGTTACCTTGAGGAGTATATTTTGCTAATTCTAGTGGCAGTAAACAAAATCATTTTATCTGTGTTAATGAGAGGGTCGCCTGTATGTTTCCACTGCACATCAAGCAACATGAAACACAGATTCTCGAAAAAGCAACCACTCTCTGCAAATCCATGGGCAGTCTTAAGGCCTTTTTTCAGGAATCCATAATGCAGTTTCCATTCGTCTGAAGTATATGTAGATAGGAAACGTTAG